GCAGGAACGGGGCGGTGCAGAATCATTGCCATCTGCTTGTCCTCCCCACATGCCTGCACACCCTACACTCACCAACTCACAGACCCTCCTGAGACCCCAGCAGAAGTGGGGACCAAGCCTCAGTGTCCCTCTGCTCACGCAGGTGCGTCTGCACTGCGGGGGGCCACCTGCTCTAGACCCCTGTGTTTATAGAACAGTAACGGTGAACTCCGGGAACATGAGAGAAAGAGGAGCCTAGGGTTTTTAAGCATGAGATCCACCTCACATCTTGCTGTTGATTTGCTGCTATGAAAGTTTTGGGTCCTTACTGACAGTTTCTGCACTTCCTCATCTCAGGCCAGTAACCAGGGCAGGGCCTCACGGCCAGCGGACCTAGCTAGGCTTCACCCTGGCTCTGTAAAAGGAAATGGAAGCCTAAGAAGTTGAAAATGGTGGCGAGTTGGTGGCAGAGTGAACCCTGGTGCTGTCCTCCTCCTGGGTTAGAAGGCCAGCCTTGCCCTGTGGGGCACCCCGGGAGGCATGGCCAGTGGGTGAAGTCCAGGCTTCCCCTTCCTGAGGGAGAGGAGAGGAGACCGGGGTCAATCCTTCACACGCAGGCCCCCAGCTTCCCGGCAGCGAGGTGGAGAGAGTGGTCTATCTGGACTGGGAGCCGTGAGCCAGGAGGAGTCTGGGTGGTGGCATTCAGCTGCCTCTTCAGAGCCTAGCGTGTGGGGGACTCACCCTTGTAGTCTGCCTCCCTGGGCCTCCCCACCCCCTGTTACTGGGGTGGGGTCGGGGGTCAGAAAGGGGTGTTAGGTTACTGGACCGTGGTTAGAAGCCACCCACGGGGAACCGTAGCTGCTTGCCTCTGCTGCCTGGCTTCTATGCATTATGCAGCAGCTTTTTATTCCGTCTCGGGCTTATTAAAATTTTAGCGGCAACAATGGCAGGGATCTCTGGGGTTTCTTCTCCCTGGGAGGCACGCTGGAGGGGGCCAGTTTACAGTAGAGGCTGGGGGCTCCCTCCAAGGGAGACATCCTTTCTGCTCTTCTGCCTCCCAGAAGTGCCCGGCAGGCATTACCTGAAAGGGTGGGCAGTGATTGTGGCTCAGGACGAGACATCCTTCATTTAATTTTGATGATAACCCTTTACAAAGGAGGAAAGTGGGGCTCGGGCATTAAGGGTCTTCCCCGGGATCTTGGGGGTTAGTCGGGGGCAGAGCTGCCTCTGTCTGTCGGCCCCCAGGACACCTTTCCCAGGGTCTTGTCACAGGGAAGCAAGGGCCTTTGCAAAAGGTGGTCAAACAGCTGAATCCCAACCACTTGTGCCGCCATTGTGGGTTCTGGACCGAGGTGATGGCTCGCAGACTTAAATCCGGTTGGGATGGGGCAGAGGCCTCTGTCCTCTGAAAGGGGTGGGACGGGTGGCATCTGTGTCTAACTGCCTCTGTCTTTGCAGAAGGAGCCCAGCGAAGTGCCAACACCTAAGAGACCTCGGGGCAGACCAAAGGGGAGCAAAAACAAGGGCGCTGCCAAGACCCGGGTGAGGCTTGGGGGCGGTGTGGCCTCCTGGTGCACGAAGGGGGAGGCGTGGGGGAGGGGGCTCATCCCGAGTCTGCCCCTCGGCCTGGGCTGTGGTGGCGGGCAGTGGGTCTGTGCTAATGGGGAAAGCAGGGTGATGGCTGAGGTCTCACTTCTGCGCCTTGGGCCTGCCCAGGACAATGGGGAAATCAAGTCAGAGGTCCTACAGCATTCCTGGCCTGGAGAAAGGAGAGTTGGGCACAGTGAAGGGGCAGCCACACCAGCCCCTGGGCTGAAAAGTCACTTCTATCCTGGGGTCCCCTGGATCTGGGGGTGAGGGGCAGGGAAGGCTAGCTTCCCAGCGGCATCAAGCTTTCAGAGAAGTTGTTTTGTTTTTTATTTTATTTTTTCTAAGACACGACTCATATCCTCTGAGTCATGGGAGGAGGAGGGAGTGGGGGGCGTGTGTATGTATATTGAGGGGGGCAATGTGGCAGCCAGTCATCACCAGCTGGACCAGCTGGGGTGGGCCTGTGGTTGGGGTGAGATTCCTGGGCTGCCCTGAGCAGAGGAGGACAGCTCTGTCCTCTGCTTCCCACCATTACTGGGTGAGCACTGTCGGGGACGTTTTTGACTTAGTGGGTTTTTTCTCTGCCATCTAGAAAACCACCACAACTCCAGGGAGGAAACCAAGGGGCAGACCCAAAAAACTGGTAGGTGAAGGGGGTACGGGCTTGGCTCCTCTGGGTGGGTGCTGAGAAGTGGGTGAGGCCTACCTGATCTTGTGCACCCACCATGGAAAAACGGCTCTCCCCGACCTGCTGGGCCAGGGATGGTGGCTGCCACACTTGGCCCCGGCCCGGCTCCTGGCACCTCGTTTAAAGGGCTGTGTCCATGAGAAGTGCGGGGTCCCAGGTACAGAACAGACCCTTGCCCTGCACTAGTGGAGGCTGTCTCTGCTTCTAGGGGGGATCTTGGAGGTCCTCTAAACTGTCCCCCATTATAGAAATGAGGAAAGGCCTTCACAGGGGGAAGGAGTGAGGTGTGCCTTTGCCCTGATCCTGGGCAGGGAGGAAGCAGCAGCAAAGAGCTCAGCGCTGGGAGGGGTCAGTGCTGGGAGGGAGCTGAGGTGGGATCCCACCTGGAGGCACCTTTCATTTCTGGGCCCCCAGAGAGCTGGTGGTGGAAGTAGGTTTGCCGAGTCAGGAGACTGCCTCTAGGGGGCTCCCCTGAGTTAGCCTCCCAGCCTTCCTGTTCCCAGCCCTTCCCTATCCCCAGTCTGCTCCCTGAACTCCCTGAGGCATTCATTCCTCGAGCTGAGCCACTACCACCAGGGCTGGGGGGCCTGGGGGGGGGTGTTGGCTGGGCCCCAGGAGTGAGTAACAGGAAACAAGTTGTTTTGGAGTTTGTGCCTGGCACGGGGGCCGCAGCCCGTGGTGTCCCGACATTCCCGCCCCGTGAGTGAGCCCCTGCGCCACACACTTCCCCTTCCTCCCCACCCTGGCCTGGGGTCAGCCTGCGGCTGCGGCCACTGCCCCGCAGCCCAGCAGCTGCCCTGTGTGCCAAGACCACCTGGCTCCCCTGCACCCTCCACCACCCCTGCCCGTTTCCTCTCCCTGGCTGCTGCCTCCCCTCCCCAGCCAGTCACTCCTCACTTCCTTCAGCTTCAGTGCTGCTCTTCTGGGTTCTGCCCAGTCCCCCACCGTGGGCCCCGGGGCAAGGGAGGATGGCTGTGAGAGCAGCATGTGTGGTTTTTTTCCCTCCTTTTAAATTCTTCCTTTTTTATGAATGAAACTGGGCTGTGGAGGTTGCTGAGTCACCCACACACTCAGCCCTGACTCATCCCCCTTCTGGAGAGCCAGGGAGGGGGTGGGGGCAGCAGGCCTGAGTTCCCTCCCCCACAACTGGGGGTGGAGGAGGAGAAGGACCTGGCACCCGTGCTGATGGCCCTGCCTGTCCACCTCACAGGAGAAGGAGGAAGAAGAGGGCATCTCGCAGGAGTCCTCCGAGGAGGAGCAGTGACCGGGCCAGCTGCTTCCTCACTGGGGAGCCGTTTCCTTCTGGGACTGGACAGCTCCGCTCCCACTGCCCCCGCCCCCTCCCCCGGCCCCCACCACCCACCTGCGCCCGCCTGCACCGCCACACTACACAGCACACCAGCCGGGCCCTGGCGGCCCGAGTGGGGAACAGTTTTCCTCTGGTCTCGGTTCCCAGCACCCCCTCACCCCCATGTGCATCCCCCCGGCCTCCTGACAAAGCTGATGTCCCACTTAGCCGCACCCCATGCCTGCTGCGTCCCTGCTCCCTGGGTGGTGGGGGCATTGCTGACTGGGCTCCTGGTTTAGGGGGTCCCTTCCCCACTCTTACCTCTGGCTTCCCATGAGGGGGCCTGGGAGGGCTCCCCTGGCCTTAAAGGGGCCTGAGCCCCATCTCACTCTGACATGCCCGCTCCACTGTCCTGGCAGCAGCACCTGTGGCCATGGATAGGGTTGTTTGGCCCCAAGATGACCCAACAAACCTGTGTCTCACCAGGTGCGGCTCACTCCCACTTTCCTTCCTTCCACAGGTGCCTAGCCCTGCACTAGGTTGAACAGCGCCCCCCTGGGGCACAGGAGGGAAGGCAGGAGGGGTGTGAGCCCCTGGCCCCATCTGCTTCCACTCTAGGCCTCCAGTTTCCTCCCCCTCACATGGGGCACTAACCAGGAGCTAGCCTTGCCCACTCCCACCCCCCGCTCCTCCCCATCCCCCAAGGTTCTGGTTCCATCTTTCCTCTGTTCACAAACTACCTCTGGACAGTTGTGTTGTTTTTTGTTCCATGTTTCATTCTTAGACATCTGTCATTGCTGCTGCTACCAGCGCCAAATGTTCATCCTCACTGCCTCCTGTTCTGCCCACACTCCCCTCCAAGATGCTCTTGGGAAGGAGCCAGGGGCAAAGCAGGCTGGGAATCGACTGCCCCAGTCCCAGGGAAGTGGGGGCTCTGCCCCTAGGATGCTGCAGCTGAGTGAGCGGGGGCCTGTGTTGACAGCGGAGAGTGTAGGGCCACCTTCTCCCCGTTCTGCCGGGAGGAGGTAGCCATGATTTGTCCCAGCCTGGGCCCCTCCCTCTGGTTTCCTACTTGCAGTTACTTGAATAAAAATATATCCTTTTCTGGACTGGAGTCTCTGTAGGTGGGTGCCTGGAGCAGGTGAAGGTGGAAACCAAGAACCTGTTGGTGGGGGTGGCTTTGGGGCTGCCCTGCCCAGCTCTTGAGGGTGGAGGCAAAGCAGTCACCTCAGGGGAGGTAATTTCAGGTCCTTGGAGAAATCACACCTCTAACCACAAAACATTTTATTTACAAAATATGTATACTGAAGACTATACATCAGGCCCTGTCACCATGGGAAGCTCCCAAGCCAAGTCAGGGAGGGCTAAAGCCCACCCCAAGAAGAAAAACCCCTAGTGCCTGGGAGCAGGCTCAGCCCACAAAGGACTACAGACGGAGGGGGATGGGTAAGAGGAGTGGAGACCCAGTGCCCAGCAGGGGGCTGGGTGGGCAGGTGGGAGGGGAAGCAGCAGGCGGCAGGACCCCATGGTTCTGAAGGTGAGGGTGTCAGGTCTTGACGTCCAGCAAGGGCATCCGCTTGTGCTGGTAGCCACTCTGCCAGCCGTGCACCACCTGGGGGGGAGACCACCCTGGGAGAGAGGCCTCGCTGCTCATCAGTCCAAATGGGGAGGGCTGAGGGCAGAACCAGGCTCTGATTTCTGGGGTGAGTGCGTGTGAGCGCAGAGCAGACCCCCCTCTGCTGGCTCCGTCTTACCTTCGGGTCTCCCACGTCAGAGAGCAGCTCCTGCTCAGCCTCGTGCAGCTCCTCAGCGGGGTCGTAGCTGTACATGGGGAGCAGGTGATGGCGAAGCCTGTCCACCCTGGGGAGCAGGGGAGGGGGCTCAGCCCAGGGGCCACCCCGTTTACACATCTGACCGCCCTGTCTCCACTCCCCCAGGTTCTGGGGCAAAGGGGCCTCTCCCAGCGGGTGAGCTGAGCCTGGGCAGGAAAACCTAACAATGGGGTGCAGGGATTGCAGGCTTGTGTCAGGATGGCCAAGGGCCATCTTACATGGGTGCAGGGAACTCTGGTCCTATGAGAAATTTAAGCCAAATGTGGGGAGGTAGTCCTGGGGGCGGGGACACTCACCGCTTTTTCTTCTGGACGTACATTACCTGGAACAGAGACAGCACTGTGGAGGCTGGGAGACCTGGACAGCCCACCCACCTCCACACCCGACTGCAGGACAGCTTGGGATGCTGTGTGCAGGCGACCTGGCCCACCCAGCCCTGCTTCGCAAAGGTGTGGGTGTATGTGCGGATGAGGGGGCTTCTTACCACAGCCACCACCACCCCAATCAGGGTGATGAGGAAGAAAGGGCCCAACACATAGCCCACCATCGAGTCGCTGTTGGCCTGGGGGGCATTGGGCACTGTGGTGTTACTCATGACATCAGCAGCTGGAGGACTGTGTAGTCAGCATGGGCAGTGCCTCGGGAGGGCGCCTCCACTGGGCTCCCTGGGGAGGAGGAAGGGAGGTCATCAATTGCAGCCTGAGTGACACCCAGCCCCTGGAGTCCTCCCCAGCCCAAGAGCTGGTGATACAGGAAAACCTGGGCCAGGCACGGGGACAAGGAATCCTCCAGGTACCCTAACCTCCCAATGACTCTCAGCAAGTCCTGGGTGTAAAGGGGCACCTAGGGGAGGCCCAGACCCAGGGACTTAGTTCTGC